TGAATGTGATGAATCTGTTATACCAGCTATTTCGTCCTTCATATGAGGTGCTGTTCCATTTCCTGAGAACCTGTTTCCATTTCCAAGGTGCCCAGAATCTATCATCTTGCCAGGTATTGATTTGACCCTTACCTTTGGCCTCAACCTGCAGCACTTTGTGACACAAAATCCGTTCACAAGTCTATAGCGTGTATAGTTTCAAGACTCTAAGATAGTATATCTGCAGCGTGCAAGATGTTCTTGTCCCTGTTTCTGTAGACACTAATGTGCACTGGAGCGATTTGCAGCTGAGAGTAATGAGGTTGGCACAAAGTGACAGTCCTGATATTGAAGCCAGATGTTTGGCTAACAGTTTCCTTAAACCTAATACATCAACTGTCTCATTGTTTTGCAGCAGTTTACTATTATCTTTAGAAAAGATAACAGAATAATTTTGCTCTGCAGGATTTCTGAACTCTTCGGGATTGAATGATCCCTGGGGAGCACTGCTGCCCCTCATTAAGAGAAGCTAGTTGTTTTATTTTTAACAAGGGTGATCTATGGATGTGTACTGGTTGCCACTGATGGGGAGGAGACAGTGCAGCTGTTGGATTCTGCTGGCTTGACAATATTATGTCCATAGGAATTTAGCAACTGTGATTGCCTCAAATTGATCCATAATGGCACTTCTATGTCACTCTTTTGCTTCTATTTCAAAATTGTGTACTGTGTGAAAACAAGACAGCCATATACTGTAGTATCTTTGATCCACAACCGGTGAAGTAACACTCATTATTTTGCCATCCATGGTGCTACATGAGGCGATGTGAGCTGGATCTTCAGCCACCTGTCGGAAAGTTGTGAAACTCATTTGAAGTTTTTGTCTTTCCTTTCACTCTTCCTGTCTTGCTGTAACATTTCAGTGGCATGTTGATGGGTTTATCGGTAGGACTGGAGGCTGATGAGGCACATCTTGACGCGTTTGGTCTTCCTGATTAGTTGACGCAAAATCTTTAAAAAAAGTGGCATGTTGTGAAAATGCCCCACATTGTCACGGGAAATGCACCTGCCCAGGTTTAGCGACTCTCTCTGGATCTCCTTCCCTCTCTTGTTTGGTTATAACTTCTGCAGCCTTCAGGTTTTGTGGGAAATATCAGTACCATGTTTCACACTTGGAAAAACTAATAAAGTATGTCGACATATGGCAAGTAACAATTTTCCAAGACTCTTTTCTAGGCAGCTAGTTTTAACCTCGATTACTAAATAGATCCCCTGTTAAAGAAATGGTAAAGTATAGTATTCATTAGTATTTATTGTTGTAATATTATGTACTCAGTATGTTATTTGGCATTACACAGTTAGAGTGGGTGTGGTCTTTCTTCAAGATCTGGTTGCAAATACATTTCTGGGTTAATTTTTAAGTTTGACCTCTGCTCATCCTTTTCTGTTATATTTATCAAATTTCTAAGGATAAAAAACATCAGTATACTTGATCTCCTTTGTGCTGCTTCTGGAAAGGTTTCAGTGCTATTTAATTGTTTAAAACAAAAACAGCAGCCACTACACAAGCCTGGAGTGAAAGCAAACAACCCCTGACCCTGAAAAGAAGTTCACTGTTTGACCATTAGTTTGTGGCTATTTCATTAATTGTTCACTGCAGAGAGAATATTTATTCTTGACCTTGGAAACAGCAGCTTGAAAAAAAATATTGACTCAAGGTCCGCTTAATAGCTTTAATACAGAGCTCTAACCCCATCTCAGGGTCTTCCTCAGCAGATACATAGATTTTGCTCAGTTGTCATGGAGATAGCTCATCACTTGTGATGATGTGATGTTGAATTTAATGTGTTTGTTTGTGAAACTGCAAATTTAGATGGTGAATATGAACCAAAAATTGAGTTTCAGAGCTAGTTTTGCAAACATTTTAGAGAATTAGAGGACATTAATAAGTACTTCAGCTACTTGATGAAGAGTAACAGCATCAGATCACCAATCAAAACTGCCCAATCAACCAAAATTCACCTCTTTTTATACCATCAACTTATTAAAAACACATTTATTAAAAACAAACTTACCAGAAAAGTTACCACTTGTCCACACATCCTGTGATAATATCTATCAAAAGCTACAGAAATCCTGATTTCTTGGGGGAAATGATTTGATTTGTATTTTGAGTTTTTAGTGAGGCCCATATCCCGCCCACTAACATGGAGGTGCAGGATTTATGACCTACAGTATACTGCAGCCAGCCATTAGGGGGTGAGCGAGTTTTGGTGGCTTCACTTCTGGAAGCTCTTAGCTTGTCCGCCGCTTTTATAGTCGTTGGTCTAAACTTGGACTTTATACGCTTTATCAAAACTTGGGGGAGCAACAGTCAAGCCAAATCTGCTCAAGCACCATACTGTAGCTAAAAAATATAAGAGCTGTAGGTGGAGTACCTTTAGTATGACTAATACACTCTTCAGCCAAATGATATCTTGTCAGTGATCTGTCAGTTAAGTTTGAAAGATTCAGTGGGAAATGCATACATATCATGCAAATACTTTTCTTTCTGTGGGGCTTAATGAACTGATGTAATCAAAAGTGTACATCTAGGAGTTTTCACTGAGTCCCTGAAGACAAGGCAGCAACACTCTTTTACATGTAAACAGATATTTTACAGCGAAGGAAGGGCTGGTGAGGCTTTTTTGTGTATCCATGTGCAGAGGAGTTGCAGGCTTAGTTTCCTCACTCTCTTTTCCCTCTCTAGCTATGTAGGGCAGCCCATGGATCAGCTGACATTCCCATCCTCCTACATGCCCACACAATCTTGTTAAAGTGTGCAGTTAATCTGAAGAGTAAAAGGACTCTTCACAAGCAAGCAGCTCTTTCATCACCCTATTGTATTGCCCACATCACGTTGTCACAGGAATATTAGATTCTTCTAAAACTCGGGTGTTTAAGAGAAGCTGCGCCCTCGTACCAGCTCTGTGTGATGTCGTTTGCCTAGGAGTGACTTTGTAAACCAGACATTATCTAACACTCTAGGATCATAGACAACGTTTTGTTGCTGGAAGAATTAACATCTCAGTGGGGACTCATCATTATTTTTTTCTCATATTTCGCCTAAAAGTTGGCTCCACCATCAATAATTTAAACAAAGTGCTGCCATAGGGATGAAACTGAGGAAATACAGTAGTAGGCTACTCTCCAAAGGTTTCTCCTAATGTAGCCTGCAGTTGTCTATTTTATGCATCTTTATAGTCAAGAGCAAACAAAGAAACACGAAACCACAAACACTCACTCATCTCTGGCACTTTGTCTGAAGTATTCTTTCATTGAAAAGCTTATTGAAAACATAGAGTCATAACTCGTTCACAGCCTCAGCACCTATCATTATCTTGTAGGCCAAGTGAAGTGCAGCAATTTGATGGACAAAGATACAGTGCAGTGCTAAAAAGGCCTCTGATTGAATTGCCACTTTCTACTGTTGCTGCTTTTCATTCCCAGTCTGCCCAACACAGTGTAAGAGACACGGAGTGAGAGGGTCATCCATAAACGCAGGAGGGCTGCATCCCAGCCCTCATTTGACAAGAGAGGTATTGTGTGGACCGAGAGGAGGGGGTATTTGTGCTGTGGCTATTTGTCCCCTCTGTGAAGTGGCTCGAAACCTTGAGACCCCGAACTTTGGCTCAAATGTTTCTTTGTCCTTACAGGCTCTCAAAGAGGCTCTCGCTTTTATGGGCTATGGAGGAATATCTCAAAAGCAACTTCCATCTCTCAAAAGAGAGAAAGTGAGAGCAAATCATGTCGAACTCCCACATAATCACGAGTGTGCTTTTTCAGACATAATAAAAATGCACAGAGCTCTCAAACAGGCTTCCATGGGCTGATTGTGCTCAAGAGGAAAATGAACCTTGACAAATGAAGCAAACCTCCTCACTCTCCTCCTACTTATTATACTGTATGAGATGTCTTTACTTTGCCTACATCAGACGATTCATTATTTATTTGCAGCCTGAAGGTTACTAAATCTTTTAAAATATCACATGAATTTTTGTCTACTTTCCATTTTATTTTCATTCTGTTTCATTGTTTTTATTATTTTAGGTTTAAAATGTATTATTTTTACCTAAAAGCCTTATTCTGTCTTATTGTAATTTTTCTGTAACGCACTTTGAATCATATGAAAGGTGCTAAACGAATAAAGCTTTATTGATTGAAGCCTGATACATTTTTCTTTCTTCACTGTATCTTCAGGTTTTACAAAAAAAACTCACAAAAGCAATTTTATGCCAAAAAACAAAACTCATGTCAACACACTGTGCTGTTGTGTTGCTCTCTCCCAGTTTTTTTTTTTACCTATGTAAGTGGCATGCATGTTTCAGTCAAGTAAACACTGTATTTGTGCAGTGCTTTGGTTGACTTGGCAACACTGCCATCTTATGGTGACCAGAGGAATAAATCAACACAATGTCTGCCTGAAGAATCTTTATTAGAAAAGGTTTATTAAGTAAGCAAGACGTGTTATCTCCATTTTAAGCTGCCACTCTGACTCATTTCATATAATAGTGTTTCCTGTCAAAGCCATCACCATCATCGTATTAGAAAGGCATATGCATTACATAATGAAATCATATTATCTCAAGCTGCTGCTGCTTAGAACAAATTTGTTTAACTGCAAACTGTGCAGCTACAGTATATAGATTTAGGTTCAGCTACCTTGATAACCCTGTGAGGCTTTAAATAGTAAAGAGTTTGACCGTTCATTATATTGTTACTGAGCTGATTTCCTTCAGTAGAAGCACCTCCTCTGACTGAAAGGGCGCTTTTTTCAAAAGGTTTGATCAAAAGAAGTTTGTATAAATTCATCTTTGATCTTTTCAGGAGGGACGTATTCCCTTCTTTTGTGGTCTATTTCCAGTCACTGAACCTCCAGAGAGCTGAGACTGTCTCTGACCAGTGCTCAGATACAAGAGATGGCTGATGGGTTTGACTTTTCCCATGGTGTGTGAAAGCCATTCCCCCCCTGAGGGCCAAAGTCATGCCTCACAGCATTTCGCGCCTTTCTCTACATGTACACCTCTCTGATCTTCCTCCCTCTCAGTTTCCCTGTCTGGCACTGTATGACAGCCTTGCTCTCCACAACACTCCTCTCTCCCTGTTTCCTTCAGTTCCTCCTTCACCTCGCCACCCCTCTGGGATTGAGAACAAAGCGCCAGAGCAGCACACCTCTCCAACCTCGATTCCCCGACCTGCTCGCACTGAACCACATAGATTCGGTAAAGCTCCAATAGGACAATAAGAATATTCTTGCAAGTGAAGAAGATCATGAGCTGGTTGAGTACCTGCTCTTGAACCATGAGGTAAAGCCGGTAAAGCAGAAACGGGCCGTCTTGGAGTCCCACTGTGAGCAGCAAGCTCCACACTTCGCTGGAGCAGCAGGAGGTGAATGAAGGCGAAGCTTCTGGGCAGCAGAAGAGACCGCTCATGCTCTTCTGAGGAAGCTCATCTTTTGGGGGTCGTGTCTGAGTGAGTACCAGAGGAAACTGCATGAGAGCCCAAGAAAAGAGAGCCAGACCGATGATGACGACTGCCCTGTTGGTTTTGACTTCATGTTCCTTGAATGTGTCGAAGATGTCCAGGATGTCAGCACCCAGTCCCACATTGACCATTAGGAGCTGGGAGAGCTGGTCACGGGACATATCCCCCTTGGGCATCAGCCAGCGACCCAGAACCAACACAATGAGCATGGTTTGTTCCAGACCAGCGACCCAGTTCTCTGGGTCTAGTTCCACGATGCCCTGTGTGAAGGAAACAGCAGTGGCGGTTATGTCAGAAGCATCAGTTATTACTACAGAGCAGAGACTCCCCTTTGCTTTTGCATTGATTTTCATGCTATTTAATTTTGTTTGTGATAAATCATTTGTACCATAAATAGATTACAATGTGATATTGTAAGTTAAATGTGCAATCGACTGTACAACAACGCATCTCTTCTTTGGAGTCGACATCATTCTGATGACTTGCGTATCACTGCAGCTCCTCATTGCGTTGGTGTTCTTTGAGTTTATCATGACAGCTCTCTTTAACATTTTACATTCCTGCAACAGTACAGTATGTCTTCAAGTTTCAAAAGCTGCCACAGCCAAGTGGCAGAAAAACACCCAAATCTGACATGAAAGAAATTGCACTTAAACCATCCCAGAAGGGGAGAAATCTGAGAGTTTTTCAAGCTGGAGCCTATCTGCACTTCATCTCCATGTGTCTATTATACATTTCCTGTGACTAATAGTTTATCCACCCCCTTGATAGATTTAAATCTTATCTGATATCAGGTGTCCCTTTAATTTGGCTGTGTAGAGGTTGAGGCGGCGAGGTCAGTACTGTGGTGGGATGCCTACCGCTGTGATTGGGATGTGAGCCAGCAAATGAAGCTCAGGGCCTGAGGAATTGTTGATGGGCAGCTTGGACTGCAGCAGGCTCAGCTCCAGAAACCAAATGGATGGGATGACAGTACTGAGGTAGAGGAAAACCATGGGAGAGAACCTAAAAGAGGACCACCAAATGACAGGGATGTCGAGGGGGAGGTTATTTTTAGTGACATGCTTTTTTTTTGCCACCCATCACAGAAGAAAGGGTGGTCTTTATTTCCAAAGGAAGCTTTGAATTTCAGACAATTATTCTCATCATGCATGCAAATCCCACTTGACAGTGCAAAGCCTTCTCTGTGAAGAAAGAACTTCAAAGTAACACTCAGTGAAAGAGAGAGAAGGAGGGGCCTGAAGAAAGCCTGGGTCTGAGTATGTGCTGGCAAACTACAGCTTTTGAATGAGACGCAGCTTGGTGTTGAATGAGGTGTGACACTAAATGCTTATAACCTTTTGAGGCTCACATAAAAAAGATAGACGTCAGTTTATGCTGACTCAGTTCAACATTTTTTTAAACTATAGCTGGTCAGAAATGACTCAAGCCGGCAGGAGACATTTTCTCCATGATTGGACAGGAGAGGCTGTGACAGGGGCCACGATAGCAGGCTGGGAACATCAGCTCAGTGAAAGACAGAGCAATAACCCAGCAGAGGAACAGATTTGTTTTTGATTGACAGTAAAAGAGAGAAAGAGCTGCAGAGCATAACAGAGAATTTAGTGCCTGAGAATATTACATACCCTGCACAAGCTGACTCTCAGAACCCTGTGCACATGGGTCCTAAAGTGTTTACACAATTATGAGTTCAGAAGTTATTTCTCCATACAGGTAACAAGTCCTTGAACATACAGTAAATAACAGTGTCACTGCCCCACTGTCCTGGCCCTGCCCTCTGATATGACCCATAAGGGCGTTTCCTAAACATGTGAGGTTATGAAACAGACTCGGTTTGGTTAGTGTTAGGCACAAAAGAAGAACTAGACTATTTGAATTATGCCAGGCACTCAGCATTTAGCAGGGTTTCTGTGGGTTCCTTAAAAACTCTTAAAACCCATTAATCTTAACTTTAGGCCCCCCAATCCAGATATTAACACTGTGTGTTGTGCCGAAAACAAAAACTTGTTAGATGTGTAGATGACATGAGTGTTACCATTTCCACTCTGCATTACGGGTGCACTTCAGAGTGACAGCCATTTCCACACCCAGCAGAGCCACACCAGTCAGCAGCACCCAGTAGAGTGGCTCCCCTTTCACGACCACCACACGCCACACTGTCACCACCCCATGGACCGCAAACAGGAAGCGGCTCAGTAAAGCCAGCAGGATGTTCAGGAGATGACACATCATGCGCCACAGAAAACCTGCGCGGAATCAGAATCCAAATCAGCTTTATTCGCCGGGGTGAGTTGAATTTGACTCCAGTCCAGGGGCTCTCTGTGTGCATGTATGCCATTCTTCCATAAGGCCACGATTAAACAAGTGAACAATATAAGACTGAGTGAACAAAAAAAGAAAAAGAATGTGCATTAAGAAAATAAAAAATTAAAATAAAGTACTTATACAGTTTAGATGGAAGACAGCTTCATCATGCGCCCTAGTACTGTCCTAGCCCAGGAATTCTGTTTGTGTGCTACATTTTCAACAAATCATTCTTGCAAGGTTGATGAAAGTCAAAGTTGAGTCAGCATTTTGACTAAAAGCTTCATATAGTATATAAGTAATGGACAACAAAGAAAAGGCTGTCAGTGACTATTAAGTTGTGAGTCAACAATTCAAAAGATGAACCTGATGATTGAATTGCCAAGAAAAAAAGAGGGAGTATATCATAATAAAAACTACTTTAAACTTCAAACATTTGTTAACAGTGTTTTAAAGGTTGCAACAGTAGAGTGGTTTATGCTGTTTTGAACGTGATATACAAATGTGATGTCCAACAGTAAAGCCTTTTGCAGAGTAAGGAACAGAACGGCGATACAGGCTATTTCTATTTGACTGCATTTTGCAATAAATTTAATGAATAAACTTATGCAGATCAGTGTCAGAATGCCAAAATTCAAACCACCCATGAACAATTTGTAAACTGTCATGTTACCTCCTTCATCCTTATTTATTTAATTGATTTATTTTATGTTATTAGTGTGCAAACAGTCCTCGCTGTCAATTAGTCAGCAGGATAGAAGCTTCAGAGCTTTTGGGTAGTTCAAAGCAAGAAGTGAATAGTAAACAGAAGCTAAACAAACTGACCTGCAGTTAATATTAAAGGAGTCCAGAAGGCTTTGTACAGGGTTGTTTAAGTAGCTCTATCTCTATGGATTATTGTGATTACTTGAAAGTGAGGCTGCAGGGGGATTGTCTGCTGATAGCCAAGTTTGATTCCAGCCAGGTACTTTTAGTTTTAAGTCATATTCCCCTGTCATGTTTTCTGTCTGTGTCTACGCTGTCATTGTATCGACACTCAGGGGGAAAAATATGCACAAAAAAGGGATTATACCAATGTGTTGATGCCATTTTGTAGTAAAACACCTTTTTTAATTTGTGGCTTTAATCATAGTTAATAAATAATTTACCAATGCTTTATAGAACAAGTAAGGACCATTAATAGGGACCAGACAGCTCTCTGTAATTACAAATGCAAACGTATGAGAATATTCTAAACCCACAAAAAACCCTGATGCCAAACAAGGAGATATAGTTTTCAGTGAACTGCACCAAATTTTAGTTATAAATAAAATATTGCATTTCTCACTTTCAAATAGATTTTGTTGCAATTCATCAGCAGTTATAAATGTTGAGTTAGAGGCAACATTTAAAGTTAAAATCAAGTATTGTACTAGAAGAGCACAAACGGATTTTTCCCAACCTGGCAACCCAAAATGTCTTATCATTAAAGCCATACAACTGATACGTATATCATTATATATACATTTAACCGTTTATAAAGTGTGTCCTCTTAGAAAGACAGTAATATCTTGTAATTTACACTGAAAGTTTCAGCCTTTACACAAACAGGCACAGACTGTTGTGTACTGCTATGATGAAGGCCAATATGCCTTGAACAGAATTCTTGCAATATAATATAGTGCAGTTACATGCAGTACAAACCTGCAATACAAGCTGGACTCCTCACTGAGATCAGTTTCTTCAGTGTGTTCCCTGAATGTTCTGTAGTAGAAAATGACAATGCACAGTCACACGCAGTGACCTGGCCTGTATCTGTCTGATTTTGTCCTTTTAAATGACATGCATCTCTTAGACCCGCTGGATGAACAGGCACGTCAGAAGCGTGTATGTGTGTGTGTGTGTGTGTGTGTGTGTGTTCAGTGGTGAGTGACTACTGTTCAAGTCCACTGGAGTATCAGTGAGCAGTAGTGTGTTCCACACACAAGTGTATATGTGTGTATCTATTTCCCTTCTCTGCCACTGCAGAAGATAACGTTTCCTGCCCCCTGCGCCCACATCTTCATCGCCATCCGTCATGATGTCATCTCTCTTGGCCCAGAACAAAGTTATCTCCCTGGGAGAAGGCAGCCTGCTGCGCACCCAGCCCTGCCCTGCTCCCACCCATGCCTGCTCTGCGACTGCACTGCTGGACCTGATAACAGCCTCACTCCCTGGCCTCCACAGACACAAAAACATGGAGCAACAGGAGGTAATGGAGATGCTGATGGCCCGCTGAGCAGTCATTACAGGAGTGTATAGGTATGTTACTGCATTAGAATGAAGATGTTCTGTGGGTCGATGCCTTGCAACTAAACTGCTAAAGTGAATCAAATACAGTACAAATGACTGACTGTTTTACATTTCTTGGTCAGTGTGCAAATCTTAAACTTTGGTCAGAAAGTTGCTCATATATGCTCCTCTGATGGTATTTCCACCTTCCTGCCAATGCAGTAGCTGATTTTCTGGCCTCTGGCTTTTATGGATGCAAACACACAAATGTAATATCACATCCAGGAGACATGTTCCAACCAGTATCTGTCTGGTTATTGAATGTGAGTCCAATATTCACTCTCCTTTTAGCTCTGTTTTAGTTTCCACCAACTCTAGAGGAAAATGCTACTGTATGTTCACAAACTGGTCACTAACATTATATGTGTCTGTAGTACCTCTCCTCTGTCAGAAGTTTTTATTTTATTCTGAAAGCAGCTGCTTGAGGTTGGTGAGAGCAGTGAGAATGAACCAAAATAATGAAATTCTCTGCAAGAAAATCAAAATAAAATGCAATAAAGATCTGTGGAGCTTAGTGGAACTGCAAAGTCATGTGATAATTGTGCATCTGGCAGGAGGAATTTCAGGATATTGCTGTTTGGAGTTTAGCATCAAGTTACCAACTGAAGTCAAGACCCACATACACACACACACACAGGTAGTAGAGGAAATCTTTTAATGGTGAGGAAACAGACAGAACTGGCAGAAGGAGATAAGACACTCCAGACGGTGCCCTAAACAAAAATGAATTGAAAAAAAAAAAATGGGTGGAGGACCAAAGAAGAAAAAGACAGAGGGGGGGGTGAGTTATCAGTCATGCAGAATAGTAGTACACCTCCTGTTTTTCTTGTTTGGGCAGCACATTGCCTTTCAAGATTACAGGCGGTTCACTGGAGATTGTGGCTTTGAGTTAGTTGAGATAACTATGCTTAATTTACATATTTGAAGTAAGTGAGCTTATGGTCAGTGCTGCAGGTGATCAACTAAGATGATTTCTTGTACTGCCCTGTGTTGAGTTAGTTTGTAGCATGATGTGGAAATCTGGAATGTTGGTGAAACTGCATTCACTGAGTATGTGACTCTTCCACAGGCAACACAGTCCTTTGCATTTATGTAACACATTTCTGTATTTGTGTTGAAAGATGTGAATTCCTATTAACACTTAAACTCATAACTACTTCATGAATTACCATATTTGCATATTCTGCAGTCATCAGTGCTTCATTTCTTCTCAAGCTTTTTCACTGAGGCTTACAGTATATTTCAGCTGCACCAGTTTGCCAGCACTGAAAGGGCACAGCTCCAGCAGGTTCTTATATGCAGCACTGGATGGCAGCCATTCGCACAGACCTTCTGCCTACTCCTCACATGGTGTACGCCACCCAGTAGATCACATTCACCACAGCAAAACTGAAAGGGAACACAGCCCTGGCATAGATATCGATGGTGTCGGCATCGATGGGCTTGCAGACGCACTTGGAACAACACTTCGTCTCGTCCTTGGTTTCCTCCGCCTGCCTGGACCTTCTCCTCCTCGGCTTGGCCTCCTTGGTGCCCCCTCCTCCAGGGATCTCGCTGCTAGAGCATTGAGTCCGGCCTTGGCGGCTGGAAATCATCACGCCCTGGTTCATGCCGGTAACCGACAGTGAAAACAGAACCATAGCCTGTTTGCCGTTCTTTACAATGGACTGTAGGGGGATAGAGAGATGGGAACATAAGTGTTATCTGAGGCTTTACCTTATAGAATGCAGTTTTCAGAAATCTGACAAAATATCAGGCAAATGTGACGGCTACTAACGTTCTAGTCACAACAATTCACAAACACACACATATACAGTAACAATCACATCACATAACATTTGAATCCCACTTTCTACTATTTTTTCATTAAAAACACCACTTTTTGTTAATGCATCTCTTCAATATTTACTCCCTATCACTATCAGTATCTTCTGTTTTTGCTTTATAGAGATTCAGTGTCTTGCTGAAGGTCAGAAGGATGGACTCTTGTTAGTACCAGGGCTTGAGGCATGCTCATTACTCACAACACCGCCATGCAGCCAAGCATTGTTATCTGCTGATGGGAGTACATGATGAGGATGATTTCACCTCTGAGGTGAGCTTGTTGGCCTTCATCTTGGCCTTCTCTTTGAGTCGGTAGTCAGCGTTGTAGTGGGCGAAGGCGTACTCAATGAGCGCTGCAAACACAAACACATAACAGATCCAGAAGTACACGTCTAGTGCCTTGATGGCTGATGCTCGTGGCAGGGAGGAGCGGGCGCTCACCATCAGTGTGGTCATGGTGAGAACAGTTGTGATCCCTGTAGAAAAGACAAAGCCACAAAGTACAGATTATGCTACTGTAAGATTTTAGCCAGCAGCATCGCTCTATGGATGTCAAGGTCAATTTGTCATTTGCTCAGTCTTCCACTTTGCTCCACATTGAAATATCTCAACAACTATTGGATAGCATGTCAGGATTAGTAGCACCAGCAGGTCAGGGTTGTCACTTATCCTGTGAAATATTTTAGCATCTACTGAATGGATTGCCATGAAATTTTGCTCAGACATTCATGGCTCCCAAAGAAAGAATCCTAACAAATCTGATTCACATTTGTGTTTTTTAGGGAAATGTCTGACCATCTCTTGAATAAATTGCCATGACATTTGGTACAGATGTATGTCCTCCTCAGAGTGAGCTGCAATCATTTTGGCAATTCCTTACATTTTTTTCTCCCATGCAATCATCAGGTCAAAATTTATTTAATACTTTGGTTTATGACTATATGCTGACATAACTAATGCCATTCCCATCAGCCTCAGGTCAAGGCCCTCATTTGTGCTTTGTGTTTACTGCTACATAACAGATGCTAAAATGCTAAACTAAGATTCTGAACATCGTAAACACTTAGCATCAGCATATTAGCATGCTGACAGTGACAAAATCCTAATGTGCCTTAGTACAATCTCACAGAGCCACATAATACAAATAACCAATATATTGTAATCAGCCAACAAGACAAATAATTGCAAAGAGGCAGGAGCACCTTGGCTGCCTTTGCTTGTTGATATTTTGCTATGTAAATATCTTTAGCTTGATATCTGAACTTGTATTTTTACTGGATAGTATAGAATAGTAAAGTCTGATACCACTAACTGATCTCAGTGATAATTACCATCATCATTATCTTCACAGAAGTAAACTGCATTACATTTACGGCACTGTCTGGCTAATGGTTTTTGCAGGTAATGGCCTTAGTCATTCAGTCAGCCCATCATTCAAGCTCAAATTTCCACTTCTAAACATGGCTGTATCAATAGCAAAATTGTCAGTATGGTTTTTATTCCATTGATCCAAGATTTTAAACTTGTAGTCCTGTTACTGAGAGCTCAATATCTGCACAGCAGGCTGCACTATCTAACCAAATTAAGACATAATACAATACTTGCATGGTTTGCTTACTATAGATGAATGAACAGCTATTTTTATTCTAGTCCCCCTCTTTCAAATTTCAGAAACGTCCTCATCAAACTAATACCAACCTAGGGTTACACGAGCAGGGACTGCTGACTGACTGATCCAAAAGGACACCCAGGACATGGCAACTAGTAATATTGAAGGCATGTATGACTGGATGATGTAGACGCCTCGATTGCGTCTCAACTGGAAGCGAAGGCTCAGCCTTGGAAATCGTCCTGCTGGGAAGCAGAAAACAGACACCATGCTTAATTGCTTGACTTACAAAGCTAATTGTTATCCATTATGAAAACATCCAGGTGTTCTTCACATATTCTGATACTACACTAAGCCTCTGCTCGCTTGTATCCCTAGTGGCAAAGCTTAAAGATGCAAGATGTAGTAACACTATTACAGTGTGCATCTTCCCAGCAGTAACTCTTATCTTTTCCTAGGCCTCCTGCCTGGCTCAGCATCAAGGCTGACTTTATCAATAACTTTTATACATAGAATATGACCACAACAGTGCCTCAGGTTTTAAAAAATCCTCTCATTTCAAAAGGAATTTGCAGAGATTTCCAACACAAGATGTAAGCCAAGTCCAAAAACTCAAAGCAGTGTCTAACGCATTAAACACTTAAAAAACATGCAAGGTACTTTCAACCTGGCTGTGACAAGTGAAGGAAAACAGAGGAAAAACAAAACAGATGCTCACCAGATTTGAAGTTCATCATCTCGGTGACAAACCGATAGTCTGTGATGGTGAACTGGGAGAGCTCCAGTTTGTCTAGGCCATGAATGTGTTTCTGACTTTCTGACCAATGATACACAATGTCTTCTGAAGAGTAACCATCTGATGTGAAATAACAGTGACAGACATTTTTTCAATCCAACCAACAGAGATATGTAATGTGGAGGTTGCTGAGCATGTAGCATTTTATCCTGGCACCAAATAACTGAAGGAGCTTGTATCAACGTAACCTTTTAAACCTGTACTTAGACATCAGCACATTTCGGCAGTAAATTGTGAAAAAACACTTCTTAAAGGATGTTTGGAGGAATATTTAATTGCAACTTACAACTTTCTAGGTCCAGCATACACTCCTGTTCATCCATGGGATACTTGGTGAGGTCCATGTCACATGCCACTGTTGATGTGATTCTGGGAACAAAACATCTCAGTCATCAAAACTTGATTTACACTAGAATATTTATCCTTAGTCATTATTCTCTATTCTCTTTATGGAAACTGAGCAACATGCACAGGCTTGGGGGTTGTGGACAGAGGTGTGTGAAGGTTTGAAGTGTTGTTTCACCAACTCGCCACTATGGGATTTAAATTATAATGTTGCTCGCAAGAAACAGAGACCGTGACCGTTATCAGTAACATGTTGTACACATCCACTTTGAGTCCAAATCATGTTGTAAATGTGCAGGTCGAGCAAAAGCACATTCCTTTTTTGATTTGAAGGCCGTAACGTTCATCCCTTAGGCTAAGCTTGTTATTTCTGATTTACAAATAAGCAAAGTCGCAATAAAGATGTGCCAGCTTGCCACCAATATGGTGAAATCTCTGTGTAAAAGAGGTTATTGACTTTCTCTGCTGTTAAAAGTTGTACAGAATCCAATGATAATTCTCTGTGGATTTGAAAAAAACAACAGCATATGGGCAGTTTGTCATTTATGTTGGAGAAAATTTTTTAATCATGCTAGCTGTTGGTTTTGGTTTTTGTTTATATTTTATGGTTTATTCCAACCTACTCAGTAACCCTCTTTACCTTCACCTTTCATCTCCCCTATCTCTTTCCACCAGCTATGTACACACAGATCAGACCACATCATAGATTTTTTTTAAAGCTTAATAAGAAGTTAGCAAAGAGAAAACAATTTATTTTCAGATCATGGTAGGGATTTTTCTGCCCAGAGAGAGCAAATAAGAGACTTCTGTGCTTTCATAAAAACAGGAGCTGTGAAACTATCAAGCAAAGCCCAACATCATAGCACCAGTACTGCAGAGGAAGAGTCTCACTGGCTGCAACTAGTAGCTCATCTGTGTACTCATACCGGCTGCTGTATAGAATGACTCCGTTGGGCTGCAGGCGGATCAGCTTGTTTTCCACAGTCACATCATGGAACCAAGCGTATTTGGCATTTACAATGAAGGTGTCGGGAACCCACAGCTTGTCCACAAAGCGACTGTCCAACCCTAGCGTCTTGTTGGTGTGATTGTAGGACAGGCGGTCATCATGCCAGCTCTGCCGCAGGAACACAGTCATGGTGTATTCCTGCCAAGCAGCAACACATACACACACACACACACAGTTACAAACATAAAGGCTGAGTCATGGGCTTCAGAAACAGATTTAATTTAAAACGTGCACAATATTAAGAAAAAAGATTACTGTGCTTTTTTTTTCTAGAACCCACTGTATCAGAAGCAATTAATAATGATAAAAACAAAGGCCATGCAAATATGTGTGGTTAATTATCATATAGACTGAAGTCTAACCAAATCAATATGTGGCCTAAAGGGAAGCTCCACAAGTTTTACACATAATAACATGAGTTTATTACTCATGAGAAATACTAAGTCTGTGCAAACATTTGAATAATGTCTTTTGTCGGTCTAGAGAGGTTTTGTCAGTCAAAAACTGTTGGATTTGGAAGTGTAGGATTCAGTTAGAATATCTCCATTTCTGCTGAGTCGGTTTATTGTGCCACGAATACTGTTTCAAACAATCTGTCATTAGTCCAGCAACTTAATGGGAGTGCAAAACGAAAATGTTGGTGTACCCCTTTATTGACTGCAATCGGGTGACATTCAAAGGCAATTTTTAAAATATAACTATGTACAGTATTTCTTTTATTACAACTAATTGTTATACTACATTATGAATAAAAAGCTGAATCTGGTGCCATTTGAACTGTACATTTGTATCAAACTTATTGTTCTGTTTGTTAAACAACTTTGGGGTTTGAAATTTTACATCGAATATTAATGCAAGAAAAAAAAACAGTTTAGAATAAAATCAGAGCCACGTACATAACATGAACTGTCCAACTAGAGTTGATTTTTACTGCACTAAATCCAAGTGTCAAATTATCTAACGACTCAGCCAGTATGTCACACATGTTCACACTGAGTAATTTCAAACCCTCAAGTGGGACAAATCAGGATTATGCAAATAGTGGATCTTTCATCTTTGCTGCAGTAGTGAAGTTGGGGGATGATAAAGCACTTCACTGGAGAAAGAAGGAAAAAGTGGCTTTACCATGTTGGCTTCAGAGATGTGGTCAATGCTGTTCACTTCAATAGCCATAGCCACATTGACTGGTGGACCTGCAGGAGGAGAAATTAGAAAAGAAGGCGATCCCGCCCCCTCCCCATTTCAAACAGACCCACAAATGCACCTTCTCTGTTCATTCAGAATCCATTAACCCCTCCCTTCCACACCCAATCACCCATCTGTTTCCCTTCCACCACTGTCCTCCCACGTCCCAAACACTCCTACAGTGCATAGAGATTAAGCATTATCCAGTTTAACCATACTAAGTGGCACACCACACTGTGGGCATATATCAGCAGCACTGGGCTTTCACAGAGTGAGCTCCTGCCAACACACACAGACACACACTGTAGCATCTTCACTCAGCAGTTTGTCATATAATTAGCATGGAGTGTGCCTCTGTGATCGAATGATAGAGTGCAGAAACTCCAGGGGAGCTTGCTGATGCAGAACTGAAGGGCTGTTTATCCTGAACATTAAGGAATCATATATTCCCCTGCATTCATCAGCTTCCCATTACCATTTGTGGCAAATTATAGTTTATTGACCACTGGATGTATAGTTTGAGGTGAGTTCTAATGGCAAATTTAGAGGGCAGGGAGCAGGTTTAGCTGAGCCTCATCATTCACCTGATGCCACACAAATATGATATATTATGGATATGTCTCAAATTTGTATATTCCAAAACAAAATAATGGGTTTTCTAATAATGTTTGGCATTTGCAATATGCATGATCTCCATTTTGAAAAGCATTATATTGTTCCAAAATGATCAGCAATTGCAAAGCTCATTTTTGTGAATATTATTTCTGTTGGAAAACATATAAATATATTTAATTTATGCATTCATTTGATATTTTATGACACCAATATTAATCCATATAAAAAGCTATGAGGTCTCAGTTGAATGAAGGGCAAATACTCCAAGTAACAGACATGACTCCCCAATGGTCATAACAACAGAGCAGTGCACATTGTTTGCACCACCCGTCTCCCTCCTGTCCTTGAAGGGCATCGTCCTCGACAATCCCTTCAGCAAAACTTCTCTTTGTCTAAAAGATTTTTCTTTTGTACGTGCGTGTGTGTGTTCCTAATAAGCAGTGTACCTAATGAAGACATGAAGAAAGTATTTACATATAGTCAACATAGCTTTTTCCCAATGCTGTACTAGAAAAAACAAAACTCAAGACACCTGTCAGGATGGTGGACTGTCGCTGCATCTTGGGTTAAGTTATGCTAAGGATGGCTGTAAATGTGAGGCTGTGAAATGCAACCCAGCGCCACAAGCAGTACACTCTCATACTCACCTCCTATTCCAGGGCGAAAATTTCTGGCATAGCCCTTCATTAAATCATCCAGATTAGGTAACCAGGATATTTTAATGTCTGTGCCTACATAGTCCCCAATGTCACTCAGCATGGCCCTAAAGGAGACAAATATCAAACACAACAGCCTTCACCATATGTCCACCGTAAAACTTGTCAGAGCCTGAGAAACAGTCAGGAACATATAAAGGTATGTATATAAGGTAAACATGTTATTTGTTGGAGATTTCTGCATGAAAATGATCATTTTAGAAAATGCTCAAATTCTAAGACCATTGCACATCAGCACAAAATTCCAGCTGTATCCTTTCAAAAATCTGTGCTCACATTAGCATACAGAAATCCATTAAAGCCGGGTTGACGTGTTTTTATTTAGTCATGTCTCCACAAGGAGGCTGACAGCACCTCCATATCCACCAATGTAGCCTCAGATTTCACACAGCTCAGACGAGACATCACACTGTGCGTCGGTCCATGATCCTCTAAAGCTTTTCAACCAAATTAAAATAGGTTCTCATAAAAGCACAGAGCTCCATTTAATAGCTTCTGTTCTGAAGTTACCAGCATTTTACATTGCCTTCTCCAGTCTGGGAGGGTGACACCTAGATTCAAACCTTGTACATTTTCCACTTCACTAACCTTTCAGGAGGGGAATATTAGTGAAATTAAAACTGTTATCTGGTATAAAGGCCCCTAGAGCTTAGAGGAACTGCTGGGCCTACAGCCCACACTGTCAGCCAGAGCATTGGTGTAGGATTTAACAAGAACAGCACCTCTAGGAGACCACCAGGTGGCAGTGTTGCATTCTAGACAAAGCAAGGTAAGTTTATTTATATAACACATTTTCATACACAAAGGCAAAACAGTGAACGTGTTCACAGACACAGTTACATGCAGACACACAGCATACTGTGGACCTTTATATATCTGTTTTAAGGTCAATTCAGCTACCTCCTGTCATTTCAGTAACACTATTTCATTCAGTACAGGCAGAGCTTTATTAACACTTATTTTCTGATATAGAGTGTGGTACAGAATCACATTTTAGAGGCAATACTGTCTTCTGGTATGCAGCAAATAAAGTGAATAAAACTGAAGGTTTCACTGACATTCAAAATCATAGCTGCTGGTGGTGTCACTGACAGAGAAACAGGCCACATGAAGGCTTGATCGAAGGCGCTATTGACCAGCAGTGAAAAGCCATTCAGTCACCTTTGAAATAAGGATGGCATTTCAGGAAAGTCGAATACTCATAAAGCAAAACACCTATACATACGTAGAAAACTGATCGCCACAACAAGCCGTGTCACAGAAAATATCAGGTATTTTTAGGTGAATAGTAAAATGATTCCTGCCTTATCATTAACATTTCCTGAGTGGGTCCATTTTGTAGTAGCAGAAGTATTTTTAGTCTGGCAATCACCATCAAGTCTGAAATAAGTGGGAGCACTGGGTGAATTAATTAATCACTATGTGACTCCTGGATTTCTTCACTAACTGGTAGTTTCTAAATTTGGAAATAGCGTCTACGTTAATGCACAAGGTCAAACAGGCAGTGTGTGGAATTGTGTATCTGCTGGGGACAAATCCTAATGTATTTACCTATTTACTATCATTTAAGATATACTGTATTCTACAGCATCTTGCAGTGTTCTGGTTCTGTGGTGATCAGATTAATGGGCTTAGTGTCATTTCACACTTCAGTCACTACAGTTCATGACCTTTCCAGTTTGACTTTGCCTTTGGAAAGCTTTTATTCTATACAGTTTCCCACAGTTGTCAGGATTTAGTCTGGTATGAGCTGTATTTATAGTTACAAATTACAAAATTTAACTTGTACCCACTTAATATTACTGGGCAGTAGTACAACATCTTTTCCATGAATGTCTTGTTAAAGGATTTTAATTTTTTTACAAGTAACCATCTGCTTGGGGCTACAGCCTTTCTGTTATAACTTTCCAAACTTATCCACAGTGTGTTATGCCTCGTGCACAAGAGGATTCTTAAACAGAAAGACAGAAACAGAATGACAACGTGAAGGCTTTTAGCAACTAAATAAATAATGAACCGTGATTATTGCTTTAATTAAATGCTGTTCTCTAAAACACACATTTCTCTGACTTTGTAAGTTGGTGTTTGAGGAAAATTCATTTTTATTTTTTGATTTCCTCACCTGAGCTTTTTTTTTTTTAAAGACCTACAAATAGCCAGCTCACATCCAGCTCTGTGAGGAAAAACAAATACCCATCCATCCATGACAGGCAGTGGAGTGTCTATTCCTAGATTCTCTTCTGCCTTCTATATTTCACTTTCATTAAATGTCTCTCCCGAGGCCTAGATCTGCACCCGTCTGTTTATGAGCTAACATTAAACAGATGGGAAGAGGAGACAGAGGAAAGGAACGGAAAAGAGAAGCAGCCTTGCTCAAATTTATGGCATCCTTTTGTGATTGTAATGTGTAGTACACGCTAACGAGCACAATTGGTTTTATATACTAAAACTGCTGGTTACCTAAACATGAGTAGAGCACTCGCTGTTTTAATTTGCTTTATTGGTATCAGTTTGAAATGAGCAGCGCTGCAATACAGTAGCACCATCAAATGCAAAGGGATAAACATCATAAAAAAGTCGTGCATATCGATAAACCAGCTGCTCCATGATTGTGTGTGTTCGCACTGCATTAACTTTGGGTCTAGCTGCTTCACATCCGGCATTCGGGTCCTTTCATTGACTGTGTTGCTACTGTGTAACTATGGAATCCCAGAAATGGCACTAATACTTTATATATTAAGATTTACATAATTACTTAAGTGAATATTCCAGTCACTTATTAGTAAAATGAAAATGAGTTTAACTGTTACTCTTTTGCTGGCTTTTGTTTCTTGGTCCCACCACACATATAATCATTTATCTCTTTATGTTTCCCTTTCCATTTTACCCACATTCCTTTTCATGTAAGAAACATTTAATATTAAATATTGTTAGAAAACAGAAGATGCTGCAGAGGAAAATATGGGGAAAGTAATGTTGTTAAAAATGTTTATTAGTGGTTTTTGTATCTCCTGATGTACTTTATTGAGTTTATTGAAAAACAATCATTTGATTTTCTCCCAGTTGAACTAGGATTGGCTGCTGAGGCCTTCGGTGAGTGTGCACAACAGCCCTGTTTGTCCCTACTTCCTGTGACTGTGGTGGACGATGGGAGTACAAAGATAAAAGCTACTGTAACCTCACTGTGAAGTTTCTTGTAAACTAACAAACTTATATCTACACTCACTGTGAACTGTCATGGTGGTTTACTTGTTTCTCGTGTAATCTTTTTTTTTTTTATTTGTCTGTTGTTTTAGGAACATTCTTTGCAGAGAGGTCAGAGGTCAGCTACAGAACAGCAGCTGTGTGGAAGTCTGAACCCTGATCCTCCAAGATGGTGTCTCTAAACACAAGGCTCTAAACACAAGGCCTCTACCTCCTCCTGACAAATGCGGTGATGATGTCTTCTCCCTAAGCGCACTGCCCAGAGTTGGAGGTGCTTTAGAGGAGAGCAGGTGATCAGAGTAGAGAGCGCTGCAGGGCTCCTGTTAAGGTCACTGAATGTCCTCTGTATTTTAATGAACCCGATGAAAACCGAGCTTCACCAAATTTGAATAAAGCAACTTTATTTTCTTGGTCAGTGGTATGAGCGGCATGTACTGGACTAGGCAGGTAAATTTGATACTTTCTGTATTGTGATTAGAGATATCTGCAGAGCACACAGAAAATGTACTGGAGTTCACAGCACTTGAAACACTGCAATTTATAAACTGTTTATAATGAATGACTTTATTCTTATTTGGTATCAGGGGACATATACACTCTTTTAGCTGTCATTTTAGTTTTCTTTATTAATTGTGAAAACTACTTTGGTTGTATCAGCAAAATGACTTAGTCCAAAGAATAATCAGTTATGATTTTGACAATCAATGAATTTAAGTGCAAACTGTTGTTTGTGCCAGCTTGTGAAAATATACTTCTCTTCTTTACTCCATATTTTCAACTGAGCACTTTTTTTTTTACTGTATTTACACAAAATAAGTGAGTTGAAGACATTACTGTGGACACTGGGCACATTTTGATTGTATTTACTAGCAATTAAGTGACAACAAACATCCACCAACCACCTGATGACCCAGATAATAGACACTTGGAAAGGTAGTTAATTTCTTATGACTCCATAACCTAAAATGGTCTCAATAATTTGTATTTTTAAAATTCTTCACTGATTCAGTTAACTGTTTCAGCTGCCATGTCTGCCAATTATGTTATCTTTAAATTTTATTTCCGTATAGTTGGTTCTAAATGCAATATCAGAGCCTTATAGATTTTGTAAATACTGTTAGGGAAGTACTAAATCTTCTATTTGTGTATTGTTGAGGTACAATTAGTCAAATTTTAATATATACATTTAATGCTAGAATCGGCATATTCATCATGCAAGTGAAAAGTTTGAAATGGGAATAGAAACTCTCAAAGCTTCTCAAACACATGACCTCAAAGTCTTTAATAGTTTCTCTGTGTTGTGAAATGAACAAAACATTAAATTATGAAAATGAATGGCCAATAATTTTCACTATACCGTGTCCTGGATCTTAATCTGCAAATATGGCTGTCAGATTTGCTTACAGAGGATTTTAACAGAAAGAAAAACCCCAATTCCTAATCAAACCGATTAATATGAATTGTCTATTGTGAATGTTTGCGAACAATATAGAATAAATTGTTTCCTCTAGCTGTTTATATACAGGGTGCATCACCTTAAACTGAGCAGGAGGCTTTTAGTGGAAGCACTGAATTGTCCCTGCATCGCCTCACCCTGCAGCAGGGCAGTCAGGCTTTAGCGCCACAGGACCAAGTACCGATCACTGTGTTATTGGGAAATGTCCTCTCTGTACAGTCGGAGGGATTTGTCTGCTGACTCAGCCTCTCACACAGATTAGTCAGCACCACCTGAGTGCAGGTTTAAACACAAGTGTGACAAACCAGAGAGACCATGAAATAAAACATCCTGCTACGTTATAATCTCCCATGTAACCACACTAAAACAAAATGACTACTCCTCTTTCTGAAAAACTGAAGCACAGTGGCTTGTCTTTCCACTGTGTGAGTCAAATTAAGATCTAAAAGGCTGGTCAGTAAAATATGATGAAATTATCAGAGCCAGATTGTGCCCTGTGCATGCTTCCTGTATCCAAGGCTACACAAGATATATTTATGTTTTATATGTGACTTTTATTATATCTTCCACAGAGCCCAGGAAACCAACAGTATGTGTCTAACAACACCTTTGTGTCAACTTGTTTATGGCCATTTACAGTAATGAAATACAAATTTATTTTTGAGCTATACACCATGTAAACACCTGAAATAATAAAAGCAGTTTCTACTCAGCCCATCCTCATTCCCAGGGTGTCAAAGACTGGCAATATATCAAGTACCTAGGGTGGGTCAAGCAAAGCATCAAGCTTTCCCACAAAAGACCAGAGTTTGCCCCCGGTGTGTGATGAAGTGTTTTTAATCGGTGCGGGTTTTAACCCTCCTAAACCTAACTACGCAGTTTTTGTGCAAAACATAACCATGCCTTTATTGTGTATTGACACAAGGTGTCAGAGGGTTTTATATGGACATCCTTTAGCATCTGTATGAAATGCAAAAGATACTGGGAATTTGAAAGTGTTGTTATTGTATATTCACAAACAAAAAATCAATCAAATGACAACAAACTACTGTAACTACTGCTTCTGGATCTCCTGGACCTGAGGGTTTGGAGCCCAAACACACTTTAGGGCATGCTTTGCCCTGCTGATAATCTGGCCTTGGTCCCATGTGCTTTTGTAAGGAGGCTGGTGGCTAAGCATTAGCATGATAGCTATAGTTAAATAATGTTGACAAAATAAACATATAATTGAATCCATGTGTCTTTGGTCTCACATTTCCACCCCTATCTTTAGAGATGTTCCACATCCTTCTCTCGTGACCTGAGACCTTGAGATATTATTGTTGTCTACTGTCACGAACTATTATAATATCATCCACTTCCTGTCAGTTGGTGGTAACTACACTGACCCAGAGTATAAGCTCTGCTTAGAGGGTCAGATTCTGTCAGTCCCATTCTGTCATCATCAGCTGTGTGAGTGCAGGCTGTGTTACTTTGTCACACAGGCAACAAGACAAATATAATATCTCACTATATTCACCTTTCTGTGGCAGCATCTGCATTATGTAAATGGAGGTCTAGGTTGCTTGGAGGTTGCGCTTTTATCTATGTCCCTGTCCTTACCTTTGTCAACCAGATAGCAGCCTCACTGTTGACTAATCTGCTGCAATCAGAGCTGAATAAACTGTAATTATATTAAAACTGCAGACGCAACACTTTATGCAGCTGCTGCACAAAAACAGACTTCTATTGTCATGCAGCTGCAGAAAGTGTGTATGTAGTCCCCAACAAATGTTCACTCATTTGATAACAACTGGTCTATATGAATTTGACTATTTTTCAGTGTTTTGCTTTCAACATATCAGTTATAAATGTTGCAAAAGATGAATGGTAAAAGAAGATGTAGCCACAAACTAACTGGTTAGATGAAAGTTGGTTTTCTTTCTCTGTTTCTTTACAAAAACATGATCTACAGTGTACAAGGCCTGATGAAAATCCAACACATTTTCAAGCAGAAAAGGAGTACATTTCAAGCCTCAGACTAATAACCAAATGGTATGGTGATAAGTATTTACAGCATCACAACTTTCTATATTTAAATTAAATAGAAATCACTTTTGCACATCATGTATCAGGCTTTGGATACAGGGGGTATAGGGTTTCATCATGGGTAAAAACTAGCCCAGTCTGGGCACAGTGTTTTGGTATGTTTTATATTCTCACATTTCATGCTGTTGCTGTGTTCTCCCTAGCCCCAGTATTTTATGTGCTTCCAGTGCTTCTTGTTATCTCTGATGTAGGTATTACACCATCAATTAAATGCAGATTGTGCTGGTGAAGTGAAGGTTAAGTGACACTTCATCTGGAAAGAAAAGCTGTGATGTCACACTAAAGGCGGCTCACAACTTAGCTAAGCAACTTTTGTGAAATGGATGAATGGGGAGCTAAAAAGGGAGCAATGTAATACAGTTCTGAGGAAGCAGTGTGCAACTTTCAGTCACCACATGCAAAACAGTTATGTGTACAGTGTGTGTGTATGTGTGTGTGTGGGGGGGGTTACACACACAATGAGGTGCAAAAACAGCGTGCACTCTGCACTGTACTGAGAACAACATAACAGCAGTGACTGGAGGCAGGAAAATCCAATTACAATAGCTATTACTCCCTCTACTGGTGAACAACCAAGGGGGACAATGGAAGCGATTTGACCAAATTTCACCCTTTGCCCTTCTCTGTGGAGGCACATGCTAGAATATGGGCTTCAGGGAAACCAGAGCTCAGTGGTGGATGCTGGTTAGTACTGGCTGCTTGTGAGACAAGACCACAAGGGTTTTTCAACTACACACAGATGAATGTAGTGTCAGCCTCTAATGAAAACAGGAAGTTTAACAAGAAGTCCCCATCTGATTTAGACACACCTGGTTTAAAAGCATTGCTTTGTATTCAAGAGTCCTGCATAAGATTATTTATAATCCAGAAAATGCTAACAGTCAGAGACCATGGCTGGATTTCAACGTGGCAACTATGTAAAATCCCTTTAAATGGCACTGGGATTGTTTTTTTTTCTAAGCTCAAGAGGATTGTTGTGTTCACACAGTCTGGGTTAATGAATTCTACTGCATATGATCAGTTAATTTTTCACTTTAAAGACTAATTTTCATAAATCATGCTAAACAAGCTCTTTTCTTAAGATCCCCAAACTAGATATCTACATTTTTGCTTTGAAAATAGAACAGCAGTTCCCTTTAAATCAAGGTCCTTTAGACACACAGACTCTACTTCCATGTGCTTCATGTAGAACCATGTGATATTTGACCCCTATCAAACAGGCCTGGATGTGGGTGACATTATCTCACACAAAAACGCACTCCCACCCCACCTTGCATGCCTCTCCAGGTAAAGAGACACAAAAAATCCACCCCTTTTATGCATATGCATTCTGCAAATAGTGTCGTAAGTCCATGTCCGGGGGGAAAGCAGCGGAGCAGAAAGCAGACTTCGGGTTGTTGAATGTGGAGAATTATTTTATATAAGAATGTTGAGTAAATTCAATTCCCGAGCTTTTGGCGCACTGTCAGCTACTTTAATATTAATATCAAGGTAAAGTCGTGGGAGGCAAGGATAAATAAAGCTGACTGACGATGGCTGAGTGGAAATAACATCATTTCATGGCTATTTTTCCAAAGTGTAGGCTAGTTGATCTGGCGTGATAGTGGTTGCTGATTGCCTTATTATGACTGTATAGTTGGATAGAGTGTTACTCAGTTAACAGCTCATAGAGGGATACAGATATTATCTTATAAATAATGTGTTTCTCATGATGCAATCTTAATTTCCAGTACTTAAAAAAAGTCTAATCCAGTAAAAAGCAGGGTTCATCTCACCTGGTGAAAATATCCCCTCCGACAAAGAGCAGAGCGAGGCTCGACAGCAAGAAAGTTGGGGTCTCCATTCCACAAGCTTTGCGATAAAGAGTATTTTTTAAAGAACAGTTTCCGGAATGAAAATCGACGAGAAAGCCGCAGAGTTTTATTTTAGTGCGCTCTCCTCGTGATCCGGCGCTGCGGACAAGACAGTAAAGTGTAGTGTTGGTACTGCTGAAGGTGATAGTGATGATGGCCCCATGATCAGATCCCCGGTTCCTCCGCGACCAGGAGCGCGCAAGAGGAGAGCGCACCTGAGGAAAATTTAAGAAAAAAATGACAAAAACTCCCGATGCGACAGCAACACCCAGCCGATGCAACGCCGCAGGTTGTTCTCCAGCAACAGAGTAGAGGGAAGGGGATGAAGCTGGAGAGAGAGAGGAAGAGTGAGAGAGAGAGAGAGAGAGTCACTAATCTGTCATTCCTTTGGTGCTTGGCCTTTGAGCGTCAGATACAATGTGGCTGCTGTGTTGGTTAGCAGGATTACGGACAAACGACTGGATGGATCATCAGCATACTTGGTACAGACATTAGTGGGGACCCTCCATAGAAGTGATGAGACTGTGGCTGAAAAAAGGGTCAAAAGTCCAGGTGACAGAAAATAACGAAAATCACAAAAGCCCCTATCTTTAGAATGGGGCAATATATTTAAAAAATTCTATCTCTGCCAAAAGTTATTGAAATAATTGATATTGATATATAGATATGAAGGCAAAACAAAACTACACAGTCAGCTATAGATATAAACACATCTCACTCTCTTACACATAATTATGTGAACGTTCTAAAAGTTTGTTATATTTTAGAGGTATTATGTGGGTATCTTAGTAAGCACTTAATCTCCATTCAGTCTGATCAAACAAATATAATATAAGGCTTAAGTTACAGCAAGAAATGTATGTTCCATTTTGTAGCAATTTTCATTAAACATAACCTGTATTGTGTGCTTATGCATAAGCATGGGGAGAGTAGTTCAGCAGTGCACCTGCCCTGATTTCTGCTGCTTCACCCTGAGGAGTGGAGACAGGCCTGAAGTCAGTGTCTCTCCCTCCCAGCAGACATTCCACCTGGATATGCACTGCAAGCTCTTTTGATATGAAGATACCAGGCTACAGTGCACTGTGCATTACACTGCATGGAATTATATTATCTGTGTCTCTCAAACACAAGCAGTTTCTGAATCTGTTTGTTCATTTCTTCCTAATGTAGTCTCTGTCTTCAGTCTCAGCCTGGTTTCCTCCACTTGGTCTGTTCTTTACATGTATGTCAGCTGGGTGGTTTTGTTTCCATTGCAGGTTTTTTGCTCTGCCTTTATCTGTCCAACAAAACCTGCCTGCTGTCCTACATACATATCACACACGCACACACACAATTCAACTATGTTAGTCTCCCATGTTGATGTGAAACTGTCCTGTATTACATTTTAATATAGTAGAACAAACACTTCTCAGTATTCTTTTGAATAGCCTGCCTCTTCAAGATTATGATGAATTGAACTAAAGAAATATGTGAAATGTAACTGAATTTTTCCAGTAAAAAACCCAAGTGCACTACTGATCAAACTAAATTCACATCTTTTCCCAGTTAAAATGAGATAGGACTGTGCAATCTATTTTTTTCTAAGTTTTTTTTTCAGCTTACTATGACCCAGATGACTGAGATGACTGAGAATCTACACAGACACTGTGCAATCTAGTGTGCTTGACAAGGGAAACCGCATAACACACAGGGTTTTCAGTCTTTCTGGACCAGCTGAGATATTTTCTGCTGTGTGGGGTTGCCTAATATCAGTGGAAAGAACCAGTAATGGTGAATAAAATTATATGGATGAACCACCCCATCTAGTTTCAGTGGGATGTTTAGCTAGTCGCCAGGGGCTCAAGGCCACGCCCCTTGCGTCCCGTCTCCTTGGAAATATTAACAAACATGGCGGATTAGCTTTTAGTCTACTGTAGGAAAAAGTAATTTCAGAAGATAGCTTGCCAAGGAAAGGATATAAAGAGAGGTAATGACTTTGTTAAATTAAGTTTTTAATTTAAAGTGTGATACAGACTAAATTCTAATCGTGTATTAGCTAGCTGACTCACTTTAACTTTACGAGCTTGGCTAGTTCATATCGTGAAAACGACACGCCAAGTTCCATTCAGAAATCTGGCTGTAATAAATATCTGACTTCCTGGAAATGTCACACGACGCAGAAAGTAAAAAAAATAATACTTAACATTTTCTGCAATTCACCACGAATCACTGTTCAAATCGGATTACATATAACTTGAATTTATCAGGAAACATATTTAAAATGAAAAGTAAAATGTTTTGATGTGATATGCTAACGTTACTGTTTCTGAATGATTCAGTTAGCAACGTCACGTTACACTGCCCAGTAATTTGTAACTTTCAGCCCATTGCTGTTTGTCGGATAATATGTGCCTGTGTTATTCAGAATTAAGGGGAATATGGATGAGGAGAACAGAGAGAGTCCAGCTGGTGTGGCGTCAAACAGGTGTGGATTGCTGGATGTCCATCTCAACACTGATGAGGACATTGAAAGTGAGTGACAGCTTTTATTGCTGCTTTGATTTCAAAACATAGCTGAGGCCAGATGTCAACACATGCCTTCTTCTCCTCAATTTGCTATTAATGAGACACAGACTGGATTATCCTTACTGTAGATATATACTGTATTTCAGATGAAGGTTCAGACCAGGAGACCTATAAAGATGAGGAGTCTGCTCTCCCTCCTGATTTGGAGTGGTTAGAAGAACTGTATCAGTGTGTATTTTTTCCTTTATGTGAATTATATCTCTCTTAGACAACAATATATACATGTTTATGTGTTAATCCCTATATCCTGTAATCTCAGTATCTTCGATAGAATGCCAAGTCACTGTAATGCATGATCATTTTGTTATCATATTTACATAGAAAATGATAAAGCTCAGTTTTAAACCTTCAGAAATTGATAATTCTGTTTTATATGTTGTCAAATCTCAGTAAAGACCTCCAGTCATAGTAAGAGTGTGATTTTATGCATGTACAAAATACACAGTCAGATTTTGCATTAATCGCGCAACCTTTCATAAATGTCATTGTGCATCTATCCCAAGAGACAATGATGGTGACCTTGCAGTTGTGACCGATAATGGTAAGAAGAGGAGTTATGCCGAGACAGCACGGATGTTCAAGCTAAGACGAAGCCTTGACCAGCTGGACTGCTTTTACCAACAGAAGGCTCTTGATGTGCTGAAAGCCAGGTTTGCACCTGACAATCGACAGGCATCTAGGTCACAGTAGCTGTTATGCCACATTCCCAGGTCTTTCCCCTCTTGCCCTTGTCACACAGGGCCAGCCATTTCTGTTCCAATTGATGCAGGAAATGATTACAGTTGAGGAGAGAACATTCCCATAAGGTTCTCTCAGATCAGGAGACCTTTAAAGATGAGGAGCCTTCTCTCCCTCCTGATTTGGTTAGAAGAGCATTCCCATAATGCTCTCTCTACCTAGTTTTCTTCCCTCTTTTTATTTGTCTGTACTTTGAGCCATTAAGCACCCGATGAACTGTGATGCAGTCACGGCAAAAATGGCTATCATTTTCTTTATGGCACAAAACATCAGAGGTCACTGTGGAGCTGTTCTGCACTCTTATCAAACACGAGTTTAATGGAACCTAAGCACACCTGGCCTTTCACCGGTCCCTAGCTTTTACTGTACGGTGTAACATGATTTTATTTTTATGACAGTCTTTCCCCCCAAGTCAGAGATTGTTGTGTTGCACATTCATAGACTGCAAAAAGAACACTGAGCTATTCCAAGCTGTTGAGGTATGTGTGTGTCCGTTCTCAGGTTTTTATTATCTACATTACATTGTCTTATTAATTGACAGAATTACCTTTCTCTTGTTGGGGTAGCTTGAAGGAAATCCATTAGCTTGATGCTCTGAACACACTGGACATTAACAGTGATTGACTTTGATGTAGGGTGTTTCTCTATGTCAATTCCATTTGTCTTGTGTTTTGTTTTTTCAGAGAAGCACTGAAACTCTGTCATCAGAATATTGAAAGTTTGGTGGAGCAGAGGGATAACTTAGAGAAAGAGATAGAGCAACAGAAAGCAGAAGACAACAGGCGAGTTCAAAATTAACCTTCAGTGACTGCTTTGTGCTTCATATTCATATGTGAGATGTTCATTTTACCCCTGTGTTTTTCACTTTTTGTTTATCTTATTTTGTAGTGTGGCAATAATTCGTTTACGAGCCCAGCATAAGCATCTGTGTCAAAAGCTGCACAGTGAAGAGGAGCTGGAAGGTCTGATCAACACTGAGCTGAAGCAACATGAGTGAGTCAAGAGGAAGATGTTTTGACAGTAAGGTCTTCTGACGGGCATTAGTACTGTGTGAAAAATGCAGCCCTCTCATTTACTTCAATGGGACCGCTGCATTGACACAGTCACGCAGCAAACACAGAACACTCAGGAATTAAAAAAAACACAGAGTTGTCTGACAAAAAAACTAAACAGTTTTTGCCACAAAGCTGTGTGATGGCATTCAGCAGTATACCTTGTTTGGACTTGTTGAGTTTTTGCGAATGGCCTGCAAACTTTTCAAATCTGTTTTTGTTTGCTACTCTTCTTCAGTGACGAGTTGTCTGCTGTTTCTTTTTTCCAACTTAATGTTGGTTTTAGGTAGTTAAAGAAATACTTAGCCAGTCTGATTGTTATGTACAGCAAAAATTTAATAGTTATTGCTCTTCAGAACCTTATATTGTTCCAGCTTCTTACCTCTGCCAAGGAACTGTACAATTACATAATACAGTATACACCATCAGTCGGCATCTTTAGCTTCTTTTTCTGTCTGTATCCATCTTATTCTTTGTCTTGGTGCTTCAGACTGGAGCTGAGTGAGGTGGAGGTGGAGATTGGCAGGGTCTCCTCACTCCGGCAGGAGGTGCAGGAGGAGGAGCAGGTCTTCCAGGCCCTTAAAGCTCAGAAGGCAGCAGCAAGGCTGCAACAGCAGAGGAAAGCCAACCTGAACCTGCAGCTCAAGAAGGAGCATCTCAGAGAGTAGGGAATATTACCATTTTTTTCCAACTGTGTGACAAGTAACACTGCTCTTTTGTGCATATAACATTGAGAATTGATCCAAGTCCATAAATCTACATAAACAAGTCAGTACAATATATAACATATCATTTGAAATTCTGAAAATATTTTGTGACATTTCTTATTGATTCTTTTTATGAGAAGCCTCATAAGTGTGCATAGGTTGTATGGGGATTCTGGCACATTATTTGAACCTGCTTTGTAAAGAATAATATGTGTGTAATTGTCTGTGATTATGCTGTTATAGTAAACAGGCAGCCATGATGAAGACAGAGGAGAGTGAATATCAGAAGAAAATTGAAGAGAGCCGCGTGAACCGCAAGATAGCTGTCAAGTACTTGAAACAGAGCATTAAAAGGTAATTTGCCTTTAAGCCAATAAACAGGGCTCAGAGAAGAACAAGAAGATGAAAACTTCAGAGGATCCACTAGAAAATGCAATGAATCTTTCTCACACATACTGCACTGTATATTGGCAAAATGTATTATAAGCAGGACAGACACAACACTTGAAAGAGCTCAAATTCAGATCTGGGCAGTAAAAGAAGTCATGATGTTTCCCAAAAATCAGTAATTATAGAAAAAGCATACATACTGTACATTGTACATTAAATGAAGATTTTGTTTTTGTGTAAGTATAAGTAGTAAAGGTTTACGTAATCCAATATGCTGTAGTAACAAGGGGTCCAACTCAAAACCTTGAAGAATAAGGATGGCAATATTATATATATTTTTAAATGGTCAAAAATCCTTTAAAATACCAACACCAACAATGAATTTTCCCCTGCTAACTCTGTTGTCTGTTTCCAAAGCAGATATGCTGTAGTTTACATGGTAACCACTGCTTCGAGTGGATTATCCTCCTTTAACCACCACCACTTGCCAATAAGCAAAATATAATTATTTCTATTTATATAAAAGGGCACTATGATTAACATTAATTTGTGCTCCAAGATGTGAAAGAAGTCATCATATAGTAACAGCCAGAACTATCAGCCAATCACAGGATGACATACTGTAGCAGCCTTTCATTGAAAGAGAAGACATTTTATATATAACTGCCAGGGTTGAGGATTTCATTCTTTTTTGTGTTACAGTATACTCTTCTGTTTTCCACTGTCTGATTAATTCCAGAGGTGTTCCTAATATTTTGACTCTCTCATGTATGCAGCTGGGCAGGACCAAAATATAAACAGACCTCTCTGAATGTAATGTAGTACAACACCACCTTTAACCATGACCTCCATATAATTAAATTTATACATTTGTGACAATTTCACTAAAAACTGAAACATTTTGAGCTTCAAAAACACAAATATTAAGGTGGAAGTGTTGCACTGAGGTGCATACAATTGTACAGGTGTACCTAATAAAGTGGCCAGTGAGTGTAAACACCATGTGACAGCTCTATTGAGAATAAAGCATTTCTTTGAGTTAGGATAATTAACCTAAGCTGCTGAGGTTTCAGTTCCAAGTAGTATTAGAAGATTAGTTTTCTGTTTTGTACTGTATTTGAGCATTGACATGCTCTGTGACTGTCCTTGTTCCATTCAGGATACATCAGCAACAGGCTGAGAAGGAACAGCAGGACAGGGAGTTACTGGAAAAGAGGATACAGGCTGTCAGGTCACTAAAATCTAACATAGCAGCTGCACAAGTAAGTAACAGCACCTCCCCCTAATGATACTATAGCATGATGGTTGTTGTTTTAGTAATTAAGAAATATACAAGCTATAGTTTTATGTATTATGTAACTAATAACATGCTCTTGTCTACTCTATATTGAATACATCATTCCAACATTCACACTGTAGGATGGGTTAGAGCTACTTTGACTTAAAAAAAAAACAGACATTTGAGTTTGCTATAGACAGCAAGCCTTTACTGATGTAAACCATGTCTTGCAAACCGTAACACACTCTT